AATGCTGCCTTTAGAATAGGATATAAGTACTTAAATGACAAATAAATACTTCTCAGTAAGAAATCAATCCAGAGCAATCATATCCACACTTCTGTTACAGCCAATTCACAAATATAGCAACAATCTGCCTCTGCTCCCTGCGTCATGATGCAGACATATTACTACTGTCTGTTGTCCAGAAGCTCTGTGACCATTTAAAAGCCAACGGAAAGGATGTTCAGATGATATTACTGTAACTACTGCATGTTCAAGGCTAACCTGGCCTATACAGTGAGAACCTACTCAAAAAAAAAAAAACAACATAAAATACATTTTAAAATATCAAGGAACAAATACTTATTATTGTTGGTCTATTTATTACATAAATACAGAGATACTACATCAATATCATTGATTTATTAATCATTGTTCTGATGACTCAACCAAAATAGCCATATATGTAGTGTCCTCCGCTTTTCCAGAATCAAAAGGAACAATTTGCTATTTCAGTGTTGTCCATTTGGAAACACTGTTTAGGAGGAAGGACGTGACCCAGATATTTATGCAACTGTCTCTGGAGCAGAAACCAACTAAACCATACAGTTTTCTTAATAAAATAAACCTACCTTTCAAGGAATTCTTTTAAATGTTAGTTAAACCTTATGAGTTATACGACAGTAATAATCTATATCAACAAATTCATCAGTGCAGTTTAATCAATACGTTGGGAGAATTTCTGTTTTGTGTAAGTTGTTTTTCTCTACTGGACACATTGTGGTACTTGAATCAGAAGCTATTTAGTTTCTAGGCATGGTGGCCCATGTCTGAAATTCCAGCAAGGTCAGAAGTTCAAGGCCATTCTCAATTATATACTGAATTGGAGGCCATGTGAGGATACAGAAGACCCTGTTTCAGAATAAAATAAAGCCAATAAAACAAAACAACAAAAAAACTCAGATGGTGTATTTCTATGCAGAACCCTTGATAATCTCACTCTCACATATACACACAAAAAAGAATAGACGAACCAGAGGTGGTAGAGTACCCCTTTAATCCTAGCACGTGATAGATAGGCAGTTGGATCTCTGTGAATTTGAGGCCAGGCTGGTTTATATAGTAAGCTCCAGGCCAGTCAGTGTTACATAGCGAGATGCTATCTTAAAGAAAGAAGCAAGAAGAAAACGATTTATACTCAAATTTCACAAATTATATTCAAATTATTTCACAAATTATATTCTGTAAATTTGGAACTTTTAATTTTTGCTCCTGGGAACCTTAACAAATGTAGCAGAATTTAGACTTAAGCAAACAGATGAGACAGCCCACCTATCACCGTCATGTTTCGTGCCTTTTTGTTTCCTAATGCTAACAGGGAACTGTTAGTGCTGCAATATTTCCGCTCTCGAAACTGCTACACAGCATGAGGGAGTTTACTCCACTTCTGGATTTATGTATTTAAGATACTTGAGGTTTTTCTTTTTGTTTGTTTGCTTGGTTTTTGAGCCGGTCTCATGTCACTGGCTGGCCTCACTATTGCTGGAGAGCTAAGAGTACAGGTGTGTCCCACCATGCCCATTTTATTATTTTACTTAGCATATCCCCTTTATTAGGGGATACTGTTAGTTTATCTGTTGGTACACTGTGAGGCTGAGTTATTTAGAAAACATTTCTAAACCTCTCTGTTTTTTTAAGAGAGGTCTCACTATACTCAGTGGGTGTCAAGGACCTTGCTTTGTAGACCAGGCTGGCCTCAAACTCACAGAGATCTACCTGCCTCCAGGGATTAAGGTGTATACCGCCAGAGCTTCTGTCTCTTAACTACCTTTGTACCTCAGTTTCTACAAGGTGTCTGACACTGGGAAAATCCTCAAGAAACACTTTTGGGAGGAAGGAGAAGAAGGAGGGAAAGACAAGGGAGTAAAGGAGCAGGAGGGGAGGGGAGGCGGGCAAGCCAGGTCATAAATTTAAATACTCAAACTTTTCAGGCTAGAAATGTAGCAATCACCAAATCGTCATTCAAGTCTAAGTGGGAAAATAAAGCAAGCACTTAACTTACTTTAACAGCCTATAATATGCGAGCCTGAACAGCTCTTGGATACAGACAGAGAGCAACACTCCGAAGATGAGCAGGTAATTCTGTACTGGTCCATCTCTGTTGTCAGTAATGACTCTCACTAGGAACCAGAAAACGGATGAAAGCAGAAGAGACACTAACCAGAAGAAAGCACTGGAACATAGAAGACAAAAGTCGCAAGTTAGCAGAAGCACAGGAAACAAATATCTTGGTTTTTTCTTTTTTAATTATGAAAGAAGCCCTTGAAGTGGTATTCTGAATCAGCATTTACTTATTAATGGTTCACCTTTCTCCTAGTGACAAAAATAGTTCAAGAGAAACTCAATGGTCAGATGCTTTCAACGATTTAGTGACTCTGTCGTGTGCACACTAGGACACTGTCTACAAAGAGGAAGTTAGTCACTATTTTTCTTAAGTGATGCTTTGCCTTATTGGTATGCCACAGAAATACAACCAGTGGCTGTTACAATTTTCACATCCTCAAATTTCACTAGAAAATGCGAATTTAACGGCTTAGATGTCTGCAAAGATAACTATCTTTTCTGAAGGAAAACAAATACCTAAACCTGTTTTTATTATGTGCACCATGGAAAATTCAGAACTTGCAAACCCGTGCTTTGGTCCAGTAGTTTTCCAGACCTGGTTCTTACAACTCTCTGTGGACTTTAAGGACACAGCAAGTTTTACAAGCTGTCGGTTCAACACATTCTATTGGTTTTTAATGACAATAGCGAAGGAGCACTATTTAGTACAGGCAAAAAGATCCTCAGGAAGGCTGGAGTCCCTGGCCTAGCGAGTGAGCTGCCTTGATGCCAAGTCCCAGAAACTGTCTCAGCAGGTGCAAAGAGACCACATTCACCAGCAGAGTTCAATATTTACAGAGTTCTCAGAGGGACATGCCTGGTCAGGTGTTGCAGCGTTTTCTGAGGCTTCCACTTTTGGCTGCACCCCAACCATTAATTACCCAGGGGCCTACAAGAAAAATCTGAGCCCAAACACCTCACAGGCATTCTGAGTCCAAGAATGGGGGCTGAGAGGGTGGACAACTGATCCCCAGGTGACTTTAATGACAGAGAGTGAGAACAACGACTCTTCGATGCCCCTGAGCACTGGGTGAAATGAGAGATTCCTACGGAAAGACAAAGGCTCCATACACGAATGTATCTACGTGATCCCATTTTAGTCCACAGAAGCCAAGATCCGCAGGGCCCCCCGCTCCTCTCAGCCCTGGACCGTCCCACAAGCTAGAGACGCTGGGAGATGGGGATCGCGGGGTCGTGGGAACCCAGGAGAGGGAGGAAACCCGCGGCGTCAGGGACTCCGCTCAACCTCACCCGGCGATGAGGAAGATGACGCGCAGAGGGTCGGTGGCGATGGTGAAGAGGTAGAGAGCGAACGCGGGCCCGAAGGCGATGAAGGCGCAACCGAAGAACACGGGCAGGGTCATGGCACCCGCAGAAGCCAGTCCGGGGGGACCGGAGCGGATCCAGATGCTCCCGACTCAGTCCGAGGAGGGGGCGGAGCAGAGCCCGGGAGGCGGGGCCTCGAGGTGCGCGGAGGTCCTTCCGAGTGGAGGGCGGGGCGTACGAGAGGCGGGACCTCGGGGGGCGCGTTCTGGCCAATCAGAGCCTGGGGGCGGTGCAGGACACAGCCTGGGTGTGGTGTACTGCCAGTCAGAGCCGAGGGCGGGGCGGAGCTCCTGAGGAAGGGCCGAGAGATGCTCCGAGGCTTGTCTGTGCAGAGGGCCGGGTGGAGTCCAGGAAGCGGGTCCTCGAGCTGCTCCTCAGCAAAGCAGCACCGGACGGGGCGAAGCTCGAAAATTAGAGCTTGTAGTGCTCAACCGTCCATCGTAGAGGGGTATCCAGGCGGAGCTCGGAGATGATCCAGGCGCTGCGAGAGCGAATGGCGGTGCAGGGTCCGGGAAGCCGTTTCTTGGGGGCTCAGAGTGCTGTGCTGGGGCTTGGTACCCTGTCAGAGAGGCGGTTCCTCGAGGGGCTCCACGTGCTGTCAGAACCCGGGGCCGAGGCCTCTAGGGGCTCTGCGTGCGTTCAGTGTAGGAGACAGGACCTCAAGGGGCTTCACAAGTGTTAGCCTGGAAGGGTTCCGTGTGAGAGCAGGCTGGGCAGCATCACGGCCTCCTGGGACTTCACGTGCTGTCAGACTGGGGGGCGGAGGTTTGAGGAGCTGAGCACTCGGGGTGCTGAGAATGGGAAGGGTTCCTTCAAGGTTTCTTCTCTGCTGAACGGGCGGCCGCCTAGACCTCCCGAGAGGCAGTGAGCTACACCGAGCCTCAGACTTGCCAGCGCTGCCGATCCTTATTCCAAAGCGTGGCTCACTGAAGACTTAAAGATGTGCCCTCTTGCCCCTGGGTACACATTGTCACTGGTGCTGGCCAACTGTGAGGTAGTCTAAGGGGGAGCACCAGCCCACTTTTGTGCTGACAGTCAACTGAAGTAAACAGCAGGGCAGGGGCACGGTTCCTTTTAAAGTAAATATTTTTCCTATGTGCATAGTTGCAGGAGGGTGGTGTTCCCATCCTATGTAAAAATCCAGACTGGGTTGGTATGACCCAGGTGATGGAATCATTCCCTATGGAAAAGGAATAATGAAATACGGATGAATTGTTCTGACAAGCTGATTTCCTTGCCACTAACCCCTTATTTTCAAAAACTTACGTTTTTTTTTTTAAGGTATTCTCTAACCATATCTGAATTTAAATTTCAGAACAAACAGGCACGGCTATGTTAAAGATTCTACAAGGTTGATATTGACTAATTAAAACTTCATGTTTGTGGAGAGTTGAAATGTTGTAGATACAGAGCCAAATTATCTTGGGCTATCTAGCCTCTTTAATGGCTATTCATTGCCACCTCTGCATCTGCTCTAATGCCCTTGTGACTATCACATGACAGGGTTTTTTTTTTCTTCATATTAACTACTAGCCTCCACCAACCCAAAAGCTAAGAATGTCATCGGATTGCAGCATCTGAGACCTGGAGCAGAGATTTCCCAGCTCTGCTCTGATTCACTTACCTGATATTTCCACGAATGCATCTGAAAGGGGCCTTGACTTATTACTTTCTTTTGTTTTGTAACTATAAACATTTCATGTACCCATTTCCATGTTGGGACACAGTATTTGGGGCAGCCCCAAATACTGCGCTCCCAGGCCAAGATCACTCAAATTTGGCTCCTGAAATAAACAATTTTGAAATGAGAGCTGTGATTTTCTTGGACATCCTTATAGCAACAGTAACATTGCTTTGCTATACACTCTGTCTTCCTGTTTAAATGTAAACTTCCAGAGGGAAAAGACTTTGTTATTTCCAAGTACCTAGAAGAAACTAAACTAGGGATTAGAATGTCAGGAGCCGTAATGGGACAAGCTAATAACTAGCAGGTGATCATCCTGAAATAGCTTGCCTTGGATTATTATATAATCTGTGACACGTGCATCTTTATTCAGCAAGGCTGTAAGGGATTCATTTTAGGAAAGATTCCTGCTATTACTATGCTTTTCCTATTATTATTATTAAACATATATAACAATCGCTAAGCAACAGCACACCCCTTTGGAGCAGATCTCTGCAGATCCATGAAGATGTACTGTCTTGTAGTGATGCTATCTAGACAAATAGATGACTTCTTAAGTCTTAATGATGATCCTATAAGAATTCCTAAAATTATATCAATGATTATTAAGCTCTTTATAACAGGACTGCTATTGGGTCCTTTTCTGATAGTCAAAACTTCAATGAGAACTCTGCCAGTCTCTTAAGTGTCACCAGTTAGTTGCTCTTAGATAGTAACCAGACTTTCTTCTACTCAGAGAATATTCCAAGAGATTGTAAAACAATTAACCAAAGGTCATAAAAGAGGAACTAATGATTTGCTATAGATGCTAGGACAGAGGATAAAACATTGCCTGGGTTTATTTATACAAAACCTCACTAATAACTTAGTTATAGTTTTAAACCTTCAGTGAGCCTGTGGAGCTAGACAGGTGATAGATGTTTAGCCAGATAATTACTCCTAATGGATATGCATGTAAACATTCTCTGTTATAAACTTCTATTTCAATTTATCATTTGATTTTCGGTGTGAACTTGTGATGAACTTTGTAGCATGTGATCATGTATTCTGAAAGATGTGTAAGTACTGAAGACAAAGAAAAAGAGAGGTTTGTTCCGTCCTTTCCTTTTCCCCCACCTAGAAGAATTTTTTCCCTTACTTAGAATTTTTTCCTTTCCCCCACTTAGGATCTTTCTGCTTTTCCCCTTAGATAGCTTTCATAGGAAACTTTTTACACTTAGTAATAAATTCTATAATCACTTCTCTAAGTGTCTTTTCTTCCTGCGACTTCAGACTAGCAGGCATAAGTTAGAGCCCAGTAGTTTCTGCTGAGATAGTACAAAGGCTATTTACTTAATCCTTTGCTGTTTTTACGATGTGATAAGTGCCAGAAACTGCAGTTTCTGGCCTCAGAGGATCACAGAAGGCAGGTCAGCTACAGTAGCATAGTGACTTAGATAAGTAAACTTTTATTATACAGCAACCGTAAATATCTCGTAAGACAAAGTCTTACCCTCCACTGATGCTCTTCCCCCTCCGCTGCCTCAAGAAGAACCGACAAGAAAGAAGATCATCTCCCCAAGCCGCCTGCAAGAGAATCATTTTGAAGATGAAGCATAGAAGCATCTAAAATCTATTAATTTCATAATTTCTGAGAGGCTTAAGAATAAAAATTATAAAGTTCTCTGGCCATTTATATTTAATATACCTCTTTATTCATGTTAAGTGAGGTTACCTCATGAGTTATCTTGAGGACCAAGCCTAACACACCTATACATTCTTGAATATCCATTGCTATAATCTGCATCTGACCTGTCTCCTTCAGTCAAATGTGTTTGAACACTGGTCCCAATTGGTGGCACTGTTCAGAAAGGTTGTTGAATCTTCAGGAGGTAGAAGATTGATGGAAGAAGTGGTTCATTAAGGATGGGCTTGAGGTTTTGTAACTCGGTCTGATTTCCTACTCATCATTTGGTTCATGATTGAAGATGCCATGTGACCAGCTGCTTCTCCTTGTCGTGCTATGCCTTTCCCACCCTCATGAAGTGTAAGCCCCCCAACTGTAAGCCAAAATAAACCCTTCGTCCCTGAAACTACTTCATGTCGGGTATCTTGTCAACAGCAATGAGAAAAATAACTAATGCATCATCCATCACAAATAGTTTTTGGAAAGCCTCAGTAAAAAGACAGACTAGTAGAAAAAGCTGGGAACTAGTTTAAGGCATTTTGTTTATCATGTCTGAAAATAAGAAATAACTGTTTCTTATGGAAGCTGTAATCTTCGCCACCTTAAACAGTCACATGTACAACCCATTTATTCTACTGAATCTCATTACATAGCTCTGACTGGCTTGGAACTCACTATGCAGACCAGGCTGGCTTTGAACTTATGAAGGACTCTTCCTCCTCAGCACTGGGATGAAAGGTCTGTACCACCATAGTCGGCCTTTGTTTTTTTGTTTTTTTGTTTTTTAATTATTTTTTTTATTTGTATTTTAATTGTTTTTAATTATGTGTATGACTCTGTGGGTATGTGCACATGAGCGCAGGTGCCCACAAGGCAAAAGGCATCTGATTTCATGGGACTGAAATTACAGACAGTTGTGAGCCACCTGATGTTGGTTCTAGGAACCAAACATAGGTCTTCTGGACGAACAGCAAGTACTCTTAAGAGCTCCAGCTGGGGATACTTCATTTTAAAACTGTCTCAATCTGTCAAAACCAATATGCAGACAGTAGCGTAGAGTGACTTGCCATTAGATAAGAATGTTTTGTGTTGACCTGGAACTAAAATTATCAATGCAATTCAGCTGCTTCAGCTTCAAGAAGAAATATTTCCACAGAAGTATAGTGTACCTATGCCTTTAATAGATTTTCTGCATATTTTACTAAACTCTTTTTCTTTAAGACAAAGTCTCACTCTATATTCCAGGTTGGCTTTGAACTTACTATGTAACCCAGCCCTCCTGCTTGAATGTGTCTAGAGCAAGGATTATAAGCATGAGCCAACCATAGCCTGCAATAAAACTTCCATTTGTCTTCCTTTTGACAAATTCATGTGTTCAGATTGAAAGCGAATTCAGCATGTTCAAGCTTTACTTTGACTCCTAGGCAGACAAAGCTAGATTTAATATTTAGTTATAACAACTGGTTGTGTGTGTATGTTGTAATTTCTTCCTTGGCTTCAAAATAAGATACTCCCCCTCATGTATTAATGATTTCATTATCACTATTTTAGTCAGTACCTATGCATTTTTATTAAAACAATTTCAAACATTTTAGAAGCATGGTAAAGTCTGGTATGGTGATACACTGTAGCCATCCAGCAGCCATGGGAGAACTGGGTTTACTGTAAAGGGGGCTGGAAATGAAAAAAAGGTAGGGGGTAAGAGAAGAATGAAGCCAAGACAAAGTTCTGATCAAGGCTCCAAGTTTAATAATAAGCACAGTGCATATAAAGGGAAAACCACAAAACCCATCCCCTGCTTCAGGCTGGAGTATGTTGTAGAGCAAGGTCAGCAAGGCAGTCAAAACAGCTAAGTTCCCCCTGGGAACCTGAAACTGCAGTCAAGGTAGATGTCTCTGTCCAGGTTGATAAGACCTGTCATGGCAAAAGTTCAAGGTCTGCTTAGCCTGCTCAAGGCTACGAAGGCCACAATTTCCTCCATTTTTGTTTTTTAAAGATGAGGAGTACCAGTTGCTGGACGGGGGCACAAAATTTACTTGTTTTCCATAATCCCGTCTAGGGTATAGAGTAGCTAGGCGACCATGTCTGTCTTAGGTCTGTGTCTATAGTGCTCCTTCTTACCTGTCATAAAAACATAGGTAGCACTGATGTATGTCTCTGTCATAGGTCAACAGAAACTCAAGAACACTCTTAACCGTCTCTGATTAACTGGTCCTCTATAGCACTCTTTTCCAATCAGACCAAAGCCACAAAGGACATATCAAAGCTGCATATATACACTTAATGCATTTCTTCATAGCAATGAATAACTGGCATTGTGAATAGCTGAGCTTGCTGAAAGCGATCTTGTATGAAGGCAACCAATCTGTTTAAAATACACAGTCCAAAAGTTAAAAGCAACAAAATTATAATTAATGGTCCAAGCAATGTAAAATTTAAAGTTGTAAGCCATGGAGAAGTAGAGAACCAGGATTTAAACTATCTCTGATTCTGTTCTCTTTCTCTTTTCCTTTTGGCCAGTCCTTCTCGAACTTTAGCCATAGAATCCTTTACTACTCCCAACTGATCAATGTAAAAACAACAGTCTTTGTGGAGGGCTGCACATAGTCTTCCCTGTTGAAGGAATAGAAGATCAAGTCCTCTTCTGTTTTGAAGGACTACCTCAGAAAAGGAGGTCAGAGACTCTTGCAAATAAGAAATAGAAGTCTCTATTCTTTCTATATCTGTATCTATTGCTGTTCTAAGAAGCTCATAATTTTTTCCTTGCAAAACTAAGACAGAAACACCTGTAGCTGCTCTTCCCACACTGAGGCCCATCAGTACTGAAATAGTTAATGTCATAGCAAGTTCTCTCTTGGAGCAAGAGAAGTCTCCAACCCAATGATCCAAGCACTCATCATAAGAATGATAAATGAGCCTAGGAATAAATTGAACCAGCACACAAAAATTTTTGGAGCTATCAAACACTTGTATGAATGCAGGGGGTAAGACCTGTGGAACAAACCCACCATCCTTCCTTTGGAGGAATAAGATAAGAAAAAGAGGTGGAAACGGTAAGCGTATGACTACATAAGTTCTGTCTTTTTCCTTTATAAATTTTCCCTGTGCAAGTACCTAGTCCAAAAACTTCATGTAGAGAAGGACCTATGCCAGATTTCTGACTCCATCGGCAATCAGAAGAGCTATTAGAGTAAGAAACATTGTTAGATAATAAAGCAATACCTTCATAATAAGGAGGAGCTATATCATAGCAAAGTCAACAAGAGTGAGTAATATTAGGATAAGTATCATTAAGCACATGAAACATCCCCACCATTAATTCTGTAAGGGGAACAGCAAATGTAGAAAAGGTAGTAGTGGCAACTGTAGAACTATGAGGGATACCAGACACTGGAGAAGAAAATAAAGAAGCAATGATAGTCCTATTCCTATCGGCGCTATTCTTCTTTTTGCCTTTATTATTTTTCTTTTTAGGTTTATTTATGATCTTATTAGGTCCTACTGAAAAAAATATAGGCTCAATTTTAAGCTTAATGGTAAAGAGTAATCCATCATCATCATAACCAGTTTTATATAGTCTAAGTCCCCAAATCTTTCCTTTAATCCAGTCTTCTCTAGGCTTTTTGCCAGACTCAGTGAATTTCACTACAATGGGATTACATAAAAAGTTAACACAGGATCCTACTCCTGTCCAGGATCTAGACAGCACAACTTTGGCACAACTAAAGCCATGACAAAAATAATGCTCATTGCCTTTACAACTAGAACTAGACAGACCAGGACCTGTTGAATTCCTAGCTACTGTAATTAAATCCCCTTGGGGCTTCCAATAAACATTTCCTGTGGACTCACATTCCCAGGCAGCACAGAAAAAAATCTTCTGCACCTCCACAATTATGAGCCTGGGATCTAGTCCTGTCATCCCAGGGGCACACATAAAAAGAATAAGTACATAGGTTATCTCTAAGCTCTGGATGTCCACATCCCAAATTTCCAATTAAACCATCCATTATGCTCAAGTAAACCTCCATGGGGTAATTGATTAGGTATATCCCAAGTGTCTAGGCCTGCTGTGAGCTGACAGAACTCAAAAACAAGATCAGGCCACCAGGTGCAAGGAGGGTTGTCTCAGGGAGCTAACTGAGTGCACTTGATTTCCAGTGAGCATAGAGACAACACTCTAAGTTAATTTAACTGGCTGATGAAGATTCTGAACTGTCTGCATCATTAGTATAATCATCATTAGAAGGTTCAGGATCTGTGGCCACTTGACGAACCAATCTTTCAGGCAGCCATCGAGCTCCTTTTTCTTTCTGTGAAAAAATACAAACAGAACCTTGTCCCCATATTAAAACAGGGTCGAGAACATTCCATGTATTAGTTAGGGGGTCTCTTCATTTAACCCTGGCATATGAGCTGGAAGTAACTGGATTCCAGTGGTGATCTGCTGCAGAATGACCCTTAGCATCAATTTGCAAAAAATTTAAAACAAATAAGACAAAAGCAAGATGTGACCTTGGAGAGTATAACTCCCCCTTTTTTTGTTTTTAAAAGCCAATTTTTCAGAGTGCGATGTGCACATTCCTTGTCCCATGGGATTATAAGGAATTTTAGTTTTATGTTTAATACTAAATTTCTTACAAAATTGTATAAAGTTGTTTCCAGTATAAGCTGGTCCATTATCCATCTTGATGACTTTAGGCAATCCCATAGCATTGAAAGCTTATAAGCAATGATCAAATTTATTTCTAGAAGCTTCTCCCACATGTAGAGAGGCAAAAAGGAATCCTGAACAAGTGTCAATACAGACATATGTATTTTTTTAATTTTCTAAATTCTGTATAATGTGTTACATCCATTTGCCAAATATGATTGGGCATAAGGTTTCGATGATTAACCCCTAAATAAGGAACTGGAGATAATGTAAGACAGTCAGGACACTGTTTTACAATCATTTTAGCTTGTTCCTTAGTAATCTTATGTTAGAACCTTAAGGTATGACTAGAGAGATGAAATTTATCATGATAACGTTTAGCCAAAACAGGATCTGAAACTAAAACTTCTCCTATGAAAGCTCTGATGATATGATCATTGCCTGCAGCTAAAGGTCCAGGAAGATCAGAATGAGCTCTTATATGACCAATATAAAAGGGATTTTTGGGGGGTAAGAATAATGGTTTGTAATTGTGAAAGCAAAGATCCAGCTGATGTATTAAAGTGAAATGTACCACAAGTTTCCAGCAAAGGAACAGACTGAGCCACATATAGACTATCAATATAAAGATTAAAAGCATCATTTACAGACTGGAAACATTCAGTACTGCTGTTGGCTCTGCTAGCTGAGAAGAGAGGCCAGGAGTCTCTATAACTACTTCCTGATTATTTATAAGATATCCTGCTTGTCCTTTAGAGGAACCATCAGTAAAAAAAGAGCATCGTGTAGAGGCTGTAAAGATGTCATACTAGGAAATAAAACCTTATGTACATTAAAAACTTCTAGCAAGGCTGGGTGGTGGTGGCGCACGCCTTTAATCCCAGCACTTGGGAGGCAGAGGCAGGCGGGTTTCTCAGTTCGAGGCCAGCCTGGTCTACAGAGTGAGTTCCAGGACAGCCAGGGCCATACAGAGAAACCCTGTCTCAAAAAACAAAACAAAACAAAACAAAACAACAACAACAAAAAAAACCAACCAACTTCTATCAACTTATCTTGAGGATAATGATTATCTGTAATGCTTTTAAATCCTATTTGAGCAAGCAGCCAATCAGTACTATGATGCTTTAACCAATTATTTTGATCTACATTAAACAGCTGAATAACGATGCCTGGTTCTTTGCCAAAATAAATCAGTGCCCGTTTTCTTCCAAGTACCATCATATGAGCTACCGCCTCATGATATGGCAATATATTACGTTTAGGAGATATCCTTGAATGTATTCACATAAGAGGAGCTTTTTGCCATAATAATCCTGTAGGTGTATGAGTTGTATTAAAAATCAACAAATGTAAATGCAAAGAATAATCTATATAAGTAACAAGTTGTTTCTCAGTAGCTCTCTCTACTTGTCGTAAGGCTAATGATCTTTCTGAAGTTAAAGCTCAGGGGGAAGTAGGATCAGCACTCTCTTTAAGAATATCAAATAAGAACTTCCGGCCTGGGGCCGCACAGAGCAGATCTCAGGCAGCAGCTCTATACTCAACTTCCCAAAACCCAGAGGAAGAGGGCCTCCCAGGAGCTTTAACTCGGGCAGCATCTCAGGTAAAAATGAATCACCCGAGATGTCTGCTGTTAGAAGTTCTAATCCAGACGCTGGCCTCAGAACTTATACTACTCAGACCTTCGAAGGGCCATTGACAAGAACATCAAACAGCTAGAGATTGACATCACTAATCTGAAGAAATCCCTCGTTTTGCTGTCTGAAGAGACCTCCAAAAATCGCAAGTCCTTATTGGACTTGATTTACTCTATTATAATAGAAAAGGCTGTGTACAGCTCTTGACTGTGTACAGCCCTTAAAGAAGAATAATGCCTTTACATAGACAAGACAGGGATGGTTAAAGAGAGCATGAAAAAGGTCAGAGAAGGCCCTGAGAAAAGACAGAGAGAGAAAGAGAAAGATGAGTGCTGGCACAAGAATTGGTTTTCAACCTCTCCAGGGTTGTCAACCCTATCTCCTCCCATCTTGGGACCATTATTTGGGTTATTTTTGCTTATTTCTTCTGGTCCCTGGGCCTCAAATAGGCTGACTAACTCTGTGAAACAACAGATAAATAATTTGGTAGCAAAACCTACTCAGATACATTATCATAAGTTAGCTATGGAGGACCACGAGTCTCAAGATGAGGTTGTTACTCTATATAGGGTGTTCCCAAAACCCATCTCCACCCAACCTAAAAGGGGGGACTTCCGCCCCTAGACCAAGCAGAGAGGGGCCACCCAGAACCCCTTCTGACAGGGGCCTGAATTGTTGCTTAGGCTGCGAGGCTAAGCACTGCAAGGGAATATCAATAAAAGTTAAAAATATCTCTCTGGGTTCCCTGAAGGACAAGCCTGATTGCATAGGGGTTGATGTCAAAAGTATCCCCTCTCCAGGAAAAAAGACATTGGGATGGGTATGGCCCTCATGCCTCACTGGACAACAACAGGGGGACCAGAGCCATTACAAGGTCCCCTTCAATTCCTGGAGGTCAAGCCTCTATCCCCACCTTTGCAAGATTAGATTTGCCACAGCCCTTCTATACTTAGAGAAGGGAGATGTCAGGGGCATCCCTGCTTACACACTGAAGGCCTAAAATCAGCCATAGGCCTAAAATCAGCAATAGACCTGTCATACATGTATACTAACACCAAGTCTTGGATCTCTGTGGATAAACACTGAAACAGGTGGCTATAAGCTATTGTAAACAGGCAGTTTTTGTGACAGTTTACCAGCCTGAGTAGTCATAGACCTTGTAAATAGGTAGCCTTGGCAGATAATACCAACTTAGATAAGGACAAGTGAATCATAGACAGTCATAGTGACGTGTCCCCTGAACCCTCACCCAGCCGAAACCCTGTTCTGAAAGACATCTGTATTCCCCCTGAACACCCACGCTCCAGTGTCATCCCCTTCCCCACGTCCTGCCTTTTTGTGTTTATAACCCCTGTGTGAATGAGTATAAATTACAATTTGAAAAAAAATAAATTTATATATATATATTAAAAAAAAGAATATCAAATAAGGGTTTCAATTCTACTGCAGTAAGCTTTAAACAAGGATGAAGTCAATTAATATCACCTAACAACTTTTGAAAATCATTTAAAGTTTTTAAATTGTCTCTATGAATAATTATCTTCTGTGGATAGACAGCTTAATCTGTAAGTCTAAAGTCTAAGTAATTAAAGAATCTTGAGTTTGTACCTTTTCTGGAGCTATTTGTAGTCCTTTATCAGCTAATTCCTGTTGTAAATCTCTATTACATAAAAGCAAATCCAGAGGGTCTTTTCTTGTTAACTAGATATCATCCAAGTAATGTAAAATATATATTATTGGCCATTGCTGTCTTATAGGCTGAATGGTTTGTGCCACAAATTTTTGACACAATGTAGTGCTATTAGCCATGCCCTGAGGAAGAACTATCCATTGATACCTTTTCATTGGCTCTTTAAAATTAATAGAAAGAACACTGAAAGCAAATCTTTCACAATTCTGAGGATGCAAAGGAATACTAAAGAAACAATCTTTCAAATTCACTATTATTGCCCTGCTGATCAATTGTCTCCATCACAGGAAAAGCCAACACTTCAGATGTATCCTGCCCCTCCCTGTGAGCCTGATTCACAGCTCTCTCTAGTAGAGATTGGAATATCTTAGAATTATTGCCCTTTTCTGCACTGGAGGCAGTCTTTAATTCTTTTAGCTCATTAGTCAATTTTTTTTTTTTTTTTGGCTTTTCGAGACGGGGTTTCTCTGTATAGCCCTGGCTGTCCTGGAACTCACTCTGTAGACCAGGCTGGCCTCAAACTCAGAAATCCACCTGCCTCTGCCTCCCAAGTGCTGGGATTAAAGGTGTGCGCCACCACTGCCCGGCCTCATTAGTCAATTTCTGCAGCTTAACTTCTAACTCTAATTTATAGACTTGCATGTCCATCTGGGCCGCATCACCTACAGCCATAGACGGAGCAGAAGGTACAGAAGGCGGCCAATCCTCAGTATGATATTTGACAGCCTCTTCCTCTAAATCATCTTCCTCCTTTGGATCTAATTCATCATCAATGTCTTCAATTTCTGTCTCCCTAGGTCTATAAGGCATGCTAGATCTGCATGGCCCTGACTTAGTGAGAGAGACTTTTTCTGAAGAAGCTTTCTCTGACAAGTGTTCTTCCTGAAATTCTTCAAGCTGTTCCTGGGCAGTAGCTAACACCTGACAGGTCTCTTTATCAATAGCTTTATTATCAATAGCATCTTTTATAAGTGTGCAGAGACAGAAAGTAGTAAGATCTGCCTGAATGGTTTGCAGAACTTCTCCATCATTTTCCCAGGTTTCCTTATCCAAAGTTCCTTCCTCTGGAAACCATGGACAATATAAATCTATTTGAGCTAAAAAATTTTCTAATGCCTGTTTTGAAAACCCTGCTCCTCTTGCCTGAAGCAGTTCTTTCAGGCTGCAGACAAAGGCCTGTTTTAAATTCCCCTGCCCCATTGCACTGTTACCCCTAGGTGAAATCAGTGTCGGGCCAACATCCCTTCAGCCTAGCTAGTATCCTTTTTCATTTTTCACTATAACAACAGCCTCCAAAAGATAAGCTTTATAACTACAAATGCTAGCAGTAATGCTGTCTTTGCTTACTGTGCAGGATACTGCTACTTTTTCTGTTTTCTGTGGAGCTCCACCCAAGACAGTGCTTCTCAGCGGGTCTCCCATTTTCAGGTCCCACATTGGGCGCCACATGTAGCCATCCAGCAGCCATGGGAGAACAGGGTTTACCTGAAAGGGGGGCTGGAAATGAAAAAAGATAGGAAGGTGAGAGAAGAATGAAGCCATAATAAGCACAGTGTATATAAAGGGGAAAACCACAAAACTCATCCCCTGCTTCAAGCTGGAGTATGTTGTAGAGCAGGGTCAGCACAGGCAGCCCAAACAGCTAAGTTCCCCCTGGGAACCTGAAACTGCACCCAAGGCAGATGTCTCTGTCCAAGATGATAAGACCTGTCGTGGCAAAAGTTCAAGGTCTGCTTAGCCTGCTCAAGGCTGGGAAGGCCACTGTACACACCTGGAATCACAATATTTGGGAGCTAGAGACAGTGAGACTGTCTGATGACAGAGAGGGGGAGAGAAATGAGAGCAGAACTTTAAAGTAATTGTAATTATCTTTTATTTAGCTTGTGCTCACACATGCACATACTTGCATGTGTAACATACATGTAGAAGTCAGAGGACAACTCTCCAGGGTCAGTTCTCTCCCTCCTCCATCTTGGGCCCAGACTCAAATTTAGATTGCCAGGCTTGGCAGCAATTACCTTTATCTGCTCAGCCAGCTCACTGGCCCAAGAACAAAAGTTTTAGATTACAATTATTGCCTCACTCTCTTCAGTGCCACACTCATGACTTCTCTTCAAAAGGTCACTAAGATTTTAAAATTTCTTAAAGACCTACTATGTGTCTTACTGAAAACCGAGGGTTCAAAATTAAAGATTCTGATTATTTCTGTAGGAGCTACAAGATTAAAAGTTGACTAATGGGGGAGCTAGACAGGCAATGGTGCTATTTATTACCATGAAGAAAACGGGAGAGAGTTTTCCCTCCTGGGTCTGTGGTTGCTGGGAGAGATGCTGAGGAGGAGGAGGATGGAGCTGAGGATTAGAAAAGGTGTCAATGTACAAGTAGATTGAAGGGCAGAAATCTAAGAGGACGCAAGAGGCTGGGGGTAGAGATATATTTCACAGGTCATGGGCCTGCTACTGCTACACCAAATTCCCACAGATGTTCTGGTCAGAAAAGTACAAGCAGATACTCTGAGAAGTCCTAAATATGCAAAGGTCTTGGAAGATAAGCCTGGGGTGTTGGGGGAGCCTGGTTCCTACAGACAGCTGTGTGATGGAGATCCTCTTCCAAGTCCTAGAGGCAGCTTATATTCCTTGGTTCACAATCTGGCATCACATCATCTCTTCTTGCTTTGCTTCCATGGTCATATAATTTTCTTCTAAGTCCCCATGTTCCTCTCATAGGAAGGCCCCTTGGGACTCTATTGGACCCATCTGAATCACCCAGGGTTAGTGGCTCATTTGATGAATCTCACCTTGACTACATCTGCAAAGTCCCTCTTGACAAATAAAGTAACTCAGGTTCCAGGGATTAGGACTTTGACCTGGTGAATTGCACCATTTATTGCAGAAGTCATTTAAAGAACTGTAAAAGAAGATGGAATTATTCAGGAAGAGCAGGAATCAGGATGCTGTCACTGAAATTAAGAGAAAAAAACCCATGTCTTTGATGGATGAAACAGGAAAAATTAGGAAGGACAGGGACTAAAAATTGTCACTAGTTTGTCAACTAAGCTGTTGCAAGCACAGCATCAATGAAGTGGGGGGGGTCTAGAATAGTTAAGGAAGAAATGGAAAATAAACAAATGAAGGTGATAACTACAGGGTTGGCAAGATGGTTCAGTGAGGAAGGGCACTTGCCACTAAGCCTGGTGACCTGAGTTAGATCCTGAAACCCACATGACAGAAGGATAGAACTAATTCCCATAAGTTATCTTTTGATTTCCACACACATATACATACAAATAAATACATGTATAAAAATGAAACAACTTGGCTGGGCAGTGGTGGTACATGCTTTTAAATCTAAGCACTTGAGAGGTAGAGGTATGTGGATTTCTGTGAGTTCAAAGTCAGACTGGTCTACAGAGAGTGAGTTCCAGGATGCCAGGGCTACACAAGAAACCCTGTCTCTGGGAAAAGAAGGAAGGAAGGAAGGGAAGAAGGAAGGAAGGAAGGAAGAAGGGAAGAAGGGAAGAAGGGAAGAAAAGAAGGCAGGCAGGCAGACTTTTAAAAGTATAGGCAAGTCTCTTGTGTGTTGTACTTCCTTCTGAGACAGGTTTTGTAAGAAAGAACTAAACTGAAGCCATTTTGGATAAAATTTCCACTTTGAATAGTAGTCAAATAAAATTTAAGTTCCCAAGACCTCACTGGGTAACTGACATCCTGGTTAGCAAATTGAGACATGAATGCTAGGCAAGTTGCCCCACCACAACTGAATAACCCAACCAGTGGGAACAGCATTAAGTGTACCACAAAGACATGTTCCTAAGGAAGTCTCTTATCCCTAAATCCTGATTGGTGGGATAATTTGGCACAGATGTTTGTGGTTTT